TATCATATTTTTTTTTTTTTTTTTCTTCTTTTCTTTTTTTTTTTTTTTTTTTTCTGGAAACTTTTCTTAAACACACAACAAAAATGATTGAAATACAAACTTGGGTTGCCTCCCAAGAAGCGCTTGATTTAATGTCGCGGCACGACGTTGTTTTTATTTTATTTTCTCTTTTAAGTGGGATCGTGAACATCCCTTAGTTCATTTCTTTTCTTCAGCCTTTTCCAGTAAGGTCGACCTTTCTTCTTTGTTCCCAACTCAATTAAAACATTTGGTGTTGGTGGTTCACAAACATTTAAAGAACAAAGAGATTGATCTTTAATTCGTTTTTTCGTAGAGTCAAAGATATTGAACTCTACTTTTTGGTCATTGAACTCTAAAGTTAATGAACCAGTAGACACGTCAATTTTTGTTTTTGCGGTCTTTAAGAAAGGTCTTCCCAAAAGGATGGGTGCTGTTTGGTCATCATTCCCCATTTCGAGGACGTAGAAGTCGACTGGAAAAATCATATTCTCTACTTCTACTAGCACGTCTTCTAATACACCCTTCGGGTAGGTACTAGAACGATCTGCTAGTTGAATCACCACACCGGTTTGATGTAGTGGGCCAAGTTGTAGGGTTTTATAAACGGAATAAGAAATGACGTTTATAGATGCCCCTAAATCTAATAAGGCCTTAGGAAATGTGGTGTTTCCTATCGTGCAAGGAATAGTGAACATGCCTGGGTCGCTACATTTTTTTGGAAGTTTTTCCTGAAAGATGGCCGAGACATGCTCACTAACTTCAATTTTTTGTTTCCCCTTTGATTTATCTTTTCTTTTTATTATACATAGTTCTTTTAAGAACTTTGCATAACGGGGAACACTTTTGATTAGTTTAAAGAGTGGGATGTTTACCTCACAATTCGCGAAGGTCTCATAGATGTCCCGATCACTCTCTAGCTTCCTTGTGTCTTTCAATGCCTCAGGGAATGGAGGGATTGGTTCATATGATGACAGCGGAGGAAATTTTGTCTTTGTTGGCTCCTCCTCCTTGTGGTCAATCTCCTCTTTTTCAGCTTCCTTTGTTTGTAATTCCGGGCTACTCCTTAGCATGATGGCATTGACTTGTTGCCTTGGGTTTTGCTCTGTTTGGGAAGGGAGCCTACCCGAATCTCTTGCTTCAAGTCGATTTACAGCATTCGAAATTTGGCTGACTTGAGTTTCCAAATTTTGAATGCTTGACTTTGTTTCTTGTTGAAATTGCACCACGTTTTGTTGTAAGGTGCCCATGGTGGTAGCAAGAGTTCGAATCATGTCTTCCATAGACATACTCGATTGAGAAGGTGGGTTGACTTGTTGAGGGTTCCCATACCTCAAGTTGGGATGATCCCTCAACCCGGGATTATAAGAATTTGAGAACGGGTCATACCTCCTCTGTTGGTGGCCTTGGAAACCCAAGGCGTTGACTTGCTCTGTGGTGTCTTCCTGAAGAGTTGGGCATGAGTCCGTGGGATGCCCTTGTTGTGTGCAGATACCGCAGACCTTGACTTCTTGGGTCTTGGATTTTAAAAGGAAATCCTTAACCAAAGAAGTCAAGCCGGTCACTTGACTTGTCAAGCCGTTCACTTGACTTTCCAATGCGTTGTTGGATTCCGCCGCCATAACTCTCCGAGTTGAGGACCGCCCGTTATAGTGTCTAGAGTTCTCGGCCAACTCCGAGATGAGATCTCTTGCTTGTGAAGGAGTTTTGTTGACAATGCCTCCTCCACACGCCGCATTCACCATGCGGCGATCTTGATCCACAAGACCATCATAAAAGTAGAGAATGAGGTCTTGTTCGGTGTATCCGTGATAGGGGCAACTTGCGCATAGCTTCTTGAATCTCTCCCAATATTCATATAGGGATTCATCATCTTTTTGTTCGATGTTGCTTATTTGCTTCTTGAGTGATGATGAAATAGAAGCGGGGTAGTACCTGTCAAGAAAGGCCTTCTTCATTTGTGGCCATGTAGTGATACTTCCCGAAGGAAGATAGAAAAGCCAGTCCTTTGCAGTATCCTTCAGAGAGAATGGGAAGGCCCTCAGTTTGATTTGCTCCTCAGACACACCATTGGGGCACATGCTTGTGCACACAATATGGAATTCCGACAAGTGTTTGTTCGGATCCTCCCCTCGTAAACCATGGAATGATGGAAGGAGATGAATGAGCCAAGATTTTAGCTCAAATGTGACCCCCGTATCAAGAGTTGGAAAAGTGATACATAGGGGTTGTTGATTAAGATTCGGAGCTGTGAGCTCCCTCAATGTTCTCGTCTCAAGAGCCATAGTGATTGGCTCTTCGGTCTCGCTAGATTGAGAAGTAGCACTTGATGATTCCTCCGAAGAAGTATTCGGAAATAAATTCCCAAACCTTTCGAAGGCTTGTTCCGTTTGGGGGGTTGTTTGGTAGATGATTTCGTTTATAGATCGGGTTCTTACCATATACTCAAACAAAGCTCAGAAGAAATAGAAATCTTTATACTTCAACTATATATTTTTTTTTTTCTTTAAAATGAAATAAAAAGAAAAAATAAATTGCCTTTCCCCGGCAACGGCGCCAAATTTGACGTGCACTTTGTCGTGAGTGCACTCAAAATAATATTCAATACTAGCACTAATACGTAGTATAGCGTAGTAAGGTTCGTATCCACAGGGAAAGGAATATTTCTCTTTTTATAGAACTAATAATAAAAAGGGGGGTTTTAGTTTGATTTGGTTTAATTAATTAAACACGGAGATAAATGAATTATGCGGTTTAATTCAAAGATAAAAGGGACTTGGTATTGCTACTTTCCACTTGTTGATATATTTTAGTCGATCATTGTTATATCTATAACTTATCTCCTCTCGAATACTCAATCGAGGAGTATATCCAATTCATCGAGGATAGTTATTAACAACGACCGTTCATTAATAACCCTTACTATTAGTCAAGTATAGAACAACGCCATATATCGACTTGATAGTAGCATTTAATCTTTTAACTCCTTGATGAAATCAATTGAGATTGATAACCTCAACACAACGGTTTCGGTTTAACCAACAAAATTAATCCCTCTTAAGTTTATTAACCACGACCGTGCATTAATAAACCGAAGTTACTTACTTGTGAAACTATCAACGATTAACCATCGGTTCGTTGATCGTTTCTAGTAATAATTAATATGTGAAACAAAACTAGTTGATCCTTTAAGTAATGTTCAAAATATTAATATGAAATATGAATAGGGATTAATTAATATTCAAGGAAGAATATTAAAGAAGATGAATCCTACTATGGTTAATATCAAGATGTTAACTAATTGTCATCTTAGTAACACTCCCCGATATTAACATAGAGGAAGGAATAGCTATTACTAAGACCAATATCAAGATGTTAACTAATTGTCATCTTAGTAACACTCCCCAACATTGATATAGAAATAGTATTTAAAGGAAGAATTAATATTCAAGGAAAAGAAGTTAAGAAAATAACTCACAACTTTAATAATCAACAAGCTTCAAGAGCAATACCAAGAATTGGAAGTTTAGCTCCTCATTTGGAGACTAAACATGCTAAAAGAAATATAAAGAAATGCTATTCTAAACTGAGCTTAAGAGTATAAAGGAATTGGTCTCTAAAAGTGAAGGAAAGGGGGTGTATTTATAGGCTTTTTGAGGTGCAGGATCGAGTACTCGATCGAGTATGTATACATACTCGATCGAGTATGTATAGAAATCAGAATTTGGTCAATACTCGATCAATACTCGAGTAGATTTTATATGCATACCCGATCGAGTATATAAGCATACCCGATCGGGTATAGACACTCGAACGTGGGAAAATCTTCTCCTGCATGTTCCTTTGTTTTCGGATCCGATCCGATTTGAAATGTCAACCAGATACCCGATCGAGTATATACATATACTCGATCGAGTATAGACCAAAATCAGGATTTTTCCTTCTTTTTGTCTTGTACTCTTGCACCTTCCTTCACCATTGATCATTTGATTGATCTTGGACCTGTTTAAGCTCAGAATAAACCTAATCTAAACAAATTACAAGAATTTAACAAACTAAACTATTACACCGAAAGTGTGTAATTTCCGAAATATTAAACAATCAAAACTAACTAAAAACGTAAATAAACATACGGAAATTACAAACGTATCAAGTAGCCCCCAGCACCCTTCCAGCTTGAGCTCCAATCAGCCCAACCTTGATCCACCCTTCCCTAACCCCACCTCCGAGCTGCCCAACCCCAACCACCAGCAAATATAACCCTAGCCGTCATCCTACCCAACATTTTGAGCCGCCGTCATCTTTGGATTTGCATGGTCATTCCAGATCTACGAATTCCGGACACAAGAAAGGAGAAGAAGACAAAATCTTAAGCTAGCAATAGATGTACGCGGAAATCCAAGCTTCTCGCCACTACTGGTCCGAGCTCCTGTGTGCCGGTGGTCTGAGCTTCTCGCTACTGCTCTGAGCTTCTATCCACCGGTAGACCACAGTGAGTGTTACCAACACACCGATGAAGAAGTTTGCCTTCTCCGATCGATGAGCTCTTCCAACGACGACGTCTCTCTATCGATCCATCTAAACAGCTTCGACGAAGAAGGAAGTCGAACGAGAACGATGGATTGCGAACAGAATAATGGAGAAGAAGCCTGAGTAGTTACAGAGGCGAGAGCTGCGCTTGTGGCGGTGGAGATTTGCGATGGAGGAGGAAATCTAGGCTCGAGGAGACCTGCGACTGTGGAAATTTGCGATGGAGGGGGCGTCGATGGAACATAAGTATGGAAAATAGAAATCTCAATTGGGCTATTATGACTAATTTAATTAAGGGCATTTGAGTCCATTTATCAATGCTTAGTCTCTTTTTTGCCCAATTTAAAACTAGATCTTATTTTTTGTCATTTGAAAGTCTCACGGTAATAGTTTAGTCATTCTTTCAAGTAATTTTTGACAATAGCCATGTAAATATATTGAGAATTGAAAGAGCGCATCTATCTTTTTTCATACATTGTAATATTTGCTATATACTACGTAAATGCTAAGTGTATTGCAGAGTGATTTCGAGGTAGGTAGCTGGCAGCTTCAAACACCAAACTAGCTAGCTTCAATATCTCGATCAACTTACTCCCCTATCAATCATTCCATCTTTTCCCGGCTATACTATTTCGTCTGCCTATATATATACCCATCTAATTATTAGTCTTCGCAAAAGACTCAAACTAATAAACGTTGACCACACTATAATGATGGTTAAGATGATGAGGTGCAGAAGCGTAGACGACTCTCATCAGAATGTTGTTAAGGATGAAGTCGACAAGTCTTTCAGAATCAAACATGAAGATATCAGCTTCTTCTCCAGACTCCTTTCCCGCCAAGAAACAGCTAAAAACAACAACACCCAGCATTCCTTCAGAGTCTACTACGCCGAGGATGTTTCTGTTCCCTTTGTCTGGGAATCCCAGCCCGGAACTCCCATACACAGATTCGCCGACGCCGGCGGGGACGCCGCCCTCCGCCCTCCTCTCACTCCTCCGCCGTCTTACTTCATCAACGGCAAGAACCCACCCAAGAAGAAGAAAAATCTGCTTAGGGCTTTGCTTGTTAAGGTCAGTCTCAAGAGTACTAGATCTAGAGCCAAACCATCACCGCCGGCCGCCTCCTCCACGCCGTCATTGCCGTCTCCTTCGTTTTCTATCTCGCCGTCTTTCTCTTCTTGTTCTTCATCTTCCCACTCGTCGTCGTCGTCTTCGGCTTTCGGTACTCCTCTTTCGAGATTCTACGGCGGCCGGAGAAAGAGGCTGGCTTCCTCGGGCTCATCCGGCTACTCTTTCGGAAAGGGCATTATTGAAGAGGTTTCCGGCGGTGAAAAATCATCGGCGTCGCCGGCGTGTTGCGGGTTGACCCACCGGAGCAGGAGGACCCTTAGCATGCATTAAGTAACATCTCCATTATGGTAAGTCACAACATCAATTAATATACTTTGGCTTTCCACGTGGACCAAGCTAAGCTAATAAAAACTTTGGTTATTTTTCGCATTGTATGAATCAATAATGTAAATGTGCTTGTTTGTGTTTCGATGGTTAGCTTAGTTATTCCATCTCCATAATTGTGCATTTGTTGCATACTTGCATGCATTGAGCTACCGATCGACAAAATTAATGTTAGAGAACAATATTGTATGGAATATGAAGATAATTAAATGATGACAATAATAATTATAATATACACGTATGATGAGAATTAAGTATAAAAGATTGCAACATTAATTGTTGTTTACTTTGTTTTCAGTTTTTACTCAATAAAAAAAATCAAATAATACGTATAAATTACGTGTCTTACAACATGTAATTCTAATTTAATGAGCATGTACTCCGTACTATATATGAAACATGTTGTGACACGTTACCGTAAATAAGTACATTATGCTAATACAAATGAATTACCATATAAATGAATTACTTTCACATGGACTAACAATCTCATTGGTAAAGATGTCATATGCTTACAAAAATTATAAGCGTACATATGCACTTGCTTTGATTTTAGCCTCTCTAAAAAAGAATACTACGGTACATAATAAAAGTTTACCCTCTAAAAATAGGATACTCCGTATTTCATATTAGACTCTTCCTATTTTTTGGTTTTGTTTTGCATCTACTTGTATGTAATACTCCATTATACTGTAAAACTGTTTCGTATTTAGTTCATGCCCTAATGTATAATAATGCACTCTTAATTGGAGTATGCCCTAAAGTAAAACTACTCATTCAAGTTTTCAGTATGAGAAAATTGCCCAATTAGGAATGTAAAAATAAAACTAGATGTTTAAATTCTCCAATTAAATAAGAGTAAAACATGGTAGTACGAGTAAATCATTGAGTGGACAAGAATGCCCTTTTACGTACATGAAGCTAATAAGGACAATCATTGCCAGGCAGCCGCTGCCAATCACTACGTGGCTAATTTCTAAGTGACCATAGAAATCATGACAACCATAATTAAACGCTAACAGGACTGGTAAACCTTGAACTCGAACCGGCCCTAAAACGTAAGAGGTAAAAAACGAGGGAGTAATTAATTACAACTCCTATTTTAAGAATTTAAGACACATCCGGTACTATTCATACACTTTTACAATGTTATACCACTACAAAAAAGGGAAAGTTCCCGAAATGGGACTAAAAAAGTTTGAAAATTCCAAAATAGGACTGTCATGTTTTTATTCCCAAAATAGGACTAATTACTGCCAAATTTGGAAAATACTGCCATGTTTGAAGTCTGGTACTGTCAAAACATGACAGTAATTAGTCCTGTTTCGGGAATAAAAACATGGAAGTCCTATTTTGGAATTTCCAAACTTTTTTAGTCCCATTTTGGGTAATATCTCCTACAAAAAATGATGGAATTGGCACGGATTTACTGAAAATTTTGTGACAAATAGCTCATGCCAAACTATTTTTGACACTGATTTGACATATTCCTGCCAAAATTCCTGCCAATTTTGGAAAATCCCTACCAAAAACTCTTAAGATAGGTCTCAATTGTTCTATAACAACAACAATAACAACATTATCCCAATGTCGTCAACACTCCCACCTATCTAACTAGCCTTACCCGATCTGGAGATTGTTTTCGCATATGTCTCAATTGTTTTCACGAAATAAAATTTAAATATTATTTTTTGAACGAGTTGAAAAAATGAAATCATTCCCAAAGACAAGATTTAGCAACAGTAAAAGTTCATGCATTTAAAACAAACACGGAGTAATATTTTGCAGGCTCTAAAAGAACTATATTTTGCGAGACCGCACACACCTTTAAGCCTATTATTCTATACTCGTATATTAGATTTACAAGGAAATTATTTATTACGGACTATGACAGTTTTTTATTTATAATACAATTTTGTTTTTTGTTTTTTTTGAAGAAAATACAATACAATTTTGTTATGCTCAAATAAATTGGTATTGAATTGACATAAAAAAATGAAAGAAGTTAAATGCTTTTAGATTGGGATCATGGTAATATTATTGGGTGCTGTGCAACTGTGCACCATGGTGGGTAAAACGCATGGTGGTGTTCAGTGTTCTGGTAACATTTAATTACTATTATAAAATTTATGTTACGGAGTAATAGTTTTTAAATATTTGTGATATAAATGATGTGAACAGATCGATAAGTATATGGGACCAACATAGTGACCAGTCCTTGTAATGTTCTTTAATTTTGTGAATAAAATGGAATTTCATAATAGTTTCAACATTGCATACTCCTACGAAGTAGCTAGCTAGCATTTATAACTTACTGGACCTACACAATTTGTGCTTTCATTGGATTGAAGGGCCCAAGTCTATACTCTCTTTTTCTCAACTGCCTTATTGAAGGGCCCAAGTCTATACTCTCTTTTTCTCAACTGCCTTTTATGATAGGTGACAACTCCAGTACCCTTTTAAAAATTGGGGGTACCGTACCTATCATTCATTTGATTGGTCCAAATCATTATATTCTTTTTAATTTAGATTTAATTAATTCAACTGCATCGTTCCTATTGGTCCATGTGGACAAAGGTATGGTACCTTAAGGGTACCATAGATTCTACCTTTATGATAACCAAAATGATGGAGTTTATTTTATTTATGAGGTAAGGGTCAGATTAGTACTCGAAGTTGCATAAAAAGGGTCAAATAAGTTCTTATATAGGAGGTTATGTCTGGCCGTCGCCATTTGGGGCGAATCCCGGCGAAATTTTTTGACGAAATTTTTTGAGCATCTTATTCATTAAGTCTAGTTTACTCATAGCGAATTTCAGCAAAAAATTCAACCGAGAAGGCATTCAAATGAATTCTTGAAGATAATTGCACAGTTAAAAACACAGTTATCTTCAAGAAATTATTTGAATGTCTTCCCGATTGAAGTTTTAGTTGACATTTGGTATGAGTAAACTAAACTTCATGAATAAGATGCTCAAAATATTTCGTCAAAAAATTCCACCGGGAAGCGTCTCAAATGGCGATGACCGGACAGTAAGGACTTATTTGACCCTTTTTATGCAACTTCGAGTACCAATCTGACCTTTACCTCTTTTATTTATTCATAAATTTTATTTTAATAATAGCTAGTATAGTCTGTATAGATAACCCCATGCATATGTGTGTCAATGTCTTTTCAAATCTGTATCAAGGAATTTTCAAATTACTCTGTTTTGGACATACATAGAAATTGGTTTATATAAAACGTAACTAAAGCATATATATATATATATATATATATATATATATATATATATATATATATAAAGTTTAAAAACACGACTAAGTAAGTTTTATTCCCAAACATGACTTATTTAGTCCTATTAAAAGAATAAGTTGATTAACTTCCCAAAATATGAGTGAATGACTCATATTTTGGAAATGAAACATAGATAATCGTATTTCATTATCAACTTAATCTTTATTTTAGTTCTATTTAGAAAATTTTGTCTTGGTTTATTATAAAAATGAATAAATTGATCTAAATTGGAGTAAAAGACATAGTAGGTAATTTGGTTTAAAACAGGGTGAAATATGTTTTATTCTCAAAAGATAATTTATTTAGTAATTAATACTAAAAGAATTAAATAGTACTCCGTACTACGTAATTAATTCCCAAAGTAAGGTTGAATAGGTCCTATTCCATAAAAACAATAGTGGCACTCCTATTTGAGTTGAGTAATTCTGGTGTGGACTTCATTACTCAGTAGCATAGCTGCATGGCATTTCTGAAACAGTGAAACACAGTAAAAGTTTTGCCTAAATAAAATCTCGAAGGATCATTATAATACGGAGTAATTGAAGTTGTCAAAGAGAAAAATGTTTATAAAGAACTCCATATTA